ATCAAGTCTGCTATGAAAGAATCTAAATAAAACAATTACGAATCCAAATTACATAGATATAGATATATTAGATACATACATAGATATAGTTTAATACCGTTCTAATAAATGCTAATATTAATTTTTAACACGAATCATACATACGAAACATAGGATACAGAAAATAGCTTTGATCTCGTCCATTGTTTTAATTACTTACACGCGTAAGCATGTAAAATGATAGCAGGTTTTTGTCGTGTTAATCTATCGTGTGAATATTCGAGTCGGCGGAGTAAAAGTTTTATATAATTCGAAAATTTGTATGCCCTTTTGATGTGGAAATGAACGCGTTAACGTTTATCCTAAATTTGTTAGAAAAAAAAAACGGAAGATAAAAGGTCGATTTCTCGCTGTAAATCAGAACATAACTTTATCGTAAGACTTGCACAACGTAATTTCGTATCATGAACAAATAGCTATAAATCATCAAATTCGATTCTATGGTACCTCTTGTTGAATTTATGACAAATAAGTCTATGATAGGTACTATGGAGTTTAAAAGCAAAATGATATGCGATTCGGGACTTACTTGGCTGTATTACTGGTTATCGTCTCGGTTGATAATTTACAACGACTTATTGTTATTTACGAGCCTTTTACTTTATTGCAGACCGATAGGTAAAAGCGTGCAACGAATGGAACTTTCTTTCGAACAAGTTTAGGGTACTTGAAGATCACAGGCGTACAACACAACCAGTCCCATTTTTCATTTTCCTATGAAGACCACACAGAAAGAACATCAGTCTATTTTTGTTGTTTTTCTTTACTTTTATGTCATTTGACTAACAAAAAGAAGTATCTATAACAAAATAGTTATATTATCTAGGAAATTAAATGTAACACTTTAAATTCATTAAATATATACAATTAGGTGCAACAAATTAGATGCTTTTCTTGTAATTTCGAAAGAGATACGGCAAAGGAATTGGAATGTTGATAAACATAACTATTTGAACTAAAGAAAACAAGGCAGCGTTGTTTGGTCGTTGCAGGAATTATAATCGCATCGAATATCCATTAAAATCACTCGTTTCGATTTCCTTGAAATTAAATAAATTACAGACGTGAAATGATTAAGTACAAATTAGTCTGCAGAAAGAACGCGCAATCTGGTAATTTTAATTGACGTCCGATCGATGGTTAATCTATGTAGAGTATGCGCGTGGGTTGATGAATCGATGTTCTTAGTAAAAGCTAAACGATGCTAAAAAAAACCCTTGATTCCTACCTGAAAGCTTGTCCATTTGTTGAAGGTGATACACAGCATCCATTAAACATGCTGGAAGTGATCATTTTTCAGAATGGAACTCTCTCTGATTTTATTAACTTAAAAACCCACCGGAATTCCGGTTTAACTAGTTCCAGTTTTTAGTTGTTAATCGATCGTAAAACGTTCACTTTTTTTTGGAACGTTCACGGATACTTTTACTACGATTTTTAAATAAAATTTTGTACTATTTCAAATATCCTCTAGTCACAGATACTTAGCTGTTTCATCGTCGTGATAAAATAATGCATCCTGATCTGCATTCGATGAAAATCGATATAATCGAAATAACAACCCGAATTGCTTATACGACCTCTTTATGAATTTTATCTGTAGAGCGTTACACTTTTCTTAAAGCTGAAACACTTCTTTCTTCCTTTCACCAAAGATAACATCGCAAACATTAATTATCGTATCAATGTAAACATAAGTTTTTAATTATAATTACAAATGTATTGCGCACTTCCATTAAATATCACCGCCAAAATGCACTTAATTTACATGCAAATATGTATATGAAATTAATAATATATTGTTAACGAATATCACAAAGTTTGGTCGAAACATGGTAACATTGCAGTTCGAGCACAAAGTGCAATGCACTATTAAAGACACGATCAAAATCCGACAAACTACAATACTTTTGCAAAAGGAAAAAGTAGAAGAAACGAACCAAGCATGGTCTGTTATCGCCTAATAATAAAAATGTGATGCAAGTAAATGTGAACAATGATAAGTGTGTGCGTGTTCAATTCGAAAATTCTAACACTAATTAGAAAAGTCTAGTAAGATTCTCACATTTTTATCGAAGCACTAGCGTGGCTACTGTTAAATTACTTACTGTTATATAACAGGCAAAGCCAAGAGAATGAAGCGCACAATGCCATTGTACTCTTGCATTACATCTTCTCATGTTTCCGAAGTCAACTTCCATAATTTGTTACGTGTATATGGTCAATAGTTTTTCATATTACACGATAAACACGTTACTGTTAAATATATGCAAGATAGAGACCGATATGATTCAAAGAAATCAAAGACTTCGTAGCAATGAATATTACATTACTGGTAGATAATTACAGGTACTTATGTGTTATGTTAATATCGCAAAAAATATAAAATGTTTGGTATAATACTAGGTATTAAAATATCAAAAACGGAATAATGTGTCAAACAATTTATATTCAAAATTTTATCATTCAGTTAATTAGTAACTTACCAAAGTACAATATTACGCAACAGAGTTAACAGCAGAAAGATAAACAAGCATCGATGTCACGATCTTCTATTTTTATCTCTAATTTTAAAGCGTTTTCTATGATGAGACCATGAGATCTAGACAGACATGCACGTTTTACGATGTCATTCCTATAAAAAAAGCAGATACACGAATCAAATTATCCGGAGTTAACTTTCTAGAAAATAAATCTTCTTGATTTGCTTAAATTCACGGGAAATAAAATTACAGTCATTTGAGAAGATCTATGCCCAGGACATTCTACGTTTTCAAACTTATGCGCGCGTGCAATTCACGATGCTTTATATTCTTCTCTTTCAACGCCTACTCATCTTCGTGCAAAAACTGGATGGAATACTAGCCTATGTAGCTCGCAATAGTATCGCATAACAAAAGATCCTGATGCAACACGACTCGTGTAGAAAATGCTTTACGCTTTTGAAGCTAACCCTACGCTACGAAATACTAGTATTCGAAATATTACTATTCAACGATTTTGTGATGCGTCCAACTAAACCTGAAATAGTACGGAAAATAAAGTATACATCTATAAGGTGTCCGTGTTGGACAAAGCGTACAAGTTAATATAAGAGAGATTGTGTTACTCGTGCGTTGCGGTCGGAAGCAGGTATGTATAATATTTTGATTGTATGTCGTGTTCCCGCGAGAAAGTTTGATTTCCTTTCTCCCTATCGAAGAACCGCTGAGACAAGAGAGATTTTTTCAACGATCAAATATATGTTACATTCCCTAAACGTTATGTATTTCCATATACAGTTAAGGACATAAGTATTGGCACGCTTTATAAAACAGAATAACTTTTTTAAAATTCGACCAAACTAAACTCTTACAACTTCTTTATCTGAGCGTGCGATGTAAATGTGGAAAATACGTTTTGTAGATTTATGTTGGTTATATATATGGTGAAAATTTTATGGAAATTAGTTAATGGAGAAACAAACAACAGACATCGAGAGATAAACAAAAATGTAGATTTTTTACAGTCATAGAACAAAAATCGCAGAAAACTATGATTTTTTACTTTTACCCGAAGCTCGTAGCAACGTTAACCGATTTTGATGGAAATTTCAGCATGTGTATAGCTAACATAAATGTACACAACATATTGTTTAAATTTGCATTACAGGCTCAGATAAAAAAAGTTGTAAAAAGTGACCTTTGATATTTTTTACAACTTTCCTACCAACTGCTATTTTTTTCAAAATTTCTTCTACACGTAATCTAGTTAATTAATCCTTTTAATTTCTCAAAGAATTCAAGTCGTTTCACGGTTGTCGCTTATATGTGCGTTCAGGACAAAAATCATAACTTTTAAATTAATCAATCTTCGACCTAAATCCTCTAATACCTTTTTATAGAGAATACAGATATACATCGATTAGCATAAAGAAAAATATATGGTTTCATGAAGAAAAGTTGTAACGATCTTTATTTTTTATTAAATAAAAAGCTTTTGGAAATTTTCACTAACGCAATTTATTGTTGTGTAATCATTGAGTAATTTTTGTTTCAAAACCTTTTTTATCAATTTAGTGGAAATACCTGAAAAATTGTGCCGATCATTTTATGTATGTAGGTTTGAGGATAAAAAGTCAAGATTATTATTTGTTCAGCATTTTTTCATTTGTTCAAATTAGGATGGAAACTCATGAAAATTAGATAACATATAAACATTTGAAAATAAGTGGTCTAATGTCTACGGTAACACGAGTATCTTACTGTTTCGCGGGAGCACAATTTGAATGCTTAAGGCCTGATCGCTGAACGCGTTAATAACAACTTGAACTTTTAATCTTTTCACTTCGGCCAAATTTGAGTGAATAAATTTGATGTCAATGGAAAATTCAATATGTCCGGAAACAGCATGCAAAAAATTATGGAGGTACTTTTTGGTGCTTTTTTAAAAGATCTCTTTGAAGTTAATAAATATTTTATATAAACAATTAGAAGAATTTGTCATTATTGCATTAAAATTACTTACCAGTCTTAAAGGTACTATAGTATTAAAGACGATCTATGAAAATGAAACTAAGAAAACAAATATTCTGCTAATTGCACGTTTTTAAAAAGGTGTATTGATTTTTGCAGTTAGCTTTACAATTTTAGCGACAAATTGGTATAGTCAGTAAAAGTAATAGATAATATTACAAATTACAGTTTATTACTAACACTATTTTACGCTAGGAAAATTTTCAGACTCGACATTTCGAGTTTTTAACTTTTTTCCATTGAGCGGACATATCGTGCGTTTCTTCCAATTTTAAAAAGATCATTCTGTTTTAAAGAGTGTGGCAATACTTATGTTACCAACTGTATGTATACTATCGTATGTGACTTTGACTGGGAATTAATAGGATAAATATAAAAAGCTGAGTCAACGTTACAAGTATGTATAAAGTTCAACAGATAATGTCATTCGAAATTAAAATACATGGATTAACAAACAGACATAATTTGTCTTCGGGAATAAAACGCAATAAGATATAATTTCAGAAGTTGCAGATTTATAGAATTGTTTTTATAGAATGCCTAGAAACGCTGCACCACGGTTATTAAGCTCATTGTTAATTTTACTCTGGTAATTTCTTCGTTAGAATAGCTTCAACAATCGCTGTTTACGTTTTAACGTTTCGTCACTTATCATTATACGCTAACAGCATTAATTGGAATGTTAGTTATATATATGTTATAATGTTAGTTATACCGTGGATATACCATTGTTTGCAGGAAGGAATAAAGAGATTGTCTAGTGGTAGTCTGACAGGAAGGGTTTCACTTCCTCGAGAACCAATTTCCTGTAACTGTAACATTCGATGCAGTAATGAATCCTTGTTGAATACTTGAACAAAAATCTTTATTCATATGTACGTATGCTCGTATGGTTTTATCAATACATTTTGTTAGAAGATACTTTACATATTTTTTATTATTTCTAGGATAAATGTAATAATATAATTGAAGCTCGAACTCTCTAGTGTTATTGAAGACTCAAGAGCCAGAAACCGACTATCACTGATCTGACCTTGTAAGATAACCTTCCAAAAATAATAGCACCAGAGGCTACTTTTAATTCAAATTGAAGTACGAACGATAAGTAGAAATTGATATCGGAGCACAAACTGCTAGATAGGTGGACAATTCAATGCAGAAATTGAAATAACACAATATATAGTTCTGTACGAGTTTAAAAAAATCTTGGAAGATTTTTCCCCGTTATCTAATAAGGCTGCTCCATTATTATTTTTGTGTAATTTTCTTATCAATAAATTATGTGTATTATTTTCTGATCAACAGAACCAAAGAATTCGGAGGGCAAAGAATCTAGATTACATGAAGCTACCAGAAAGTTCATTCTAACGGCATTTGCAATTATAGGCTACAGATATGCTAATCCATGTTTTTATGAATACAAAGAAGAAAGCGAAACGGTTTGCAACATACTTTAATCGGACGACATCATTTGGAAATTCAAAACATCTTAGTACGAGAGCGAACTTAGCATCGAATCGATAAAATTAAACTTATAAATGCGTATAACAATCATTTCATAGATATCAATAGGAATCAATTTTATCTAACGATAACACAATACACATTATATTAGTCTGTTTGAATATAATTTCCTAATTATTTCCATTGCTTATGGACAACAATTCGAAGTTGGTTCAGCAACAAGCGCTAAAGATAGAATGCGTGCATTATTTCTGCCTCACATACTTTCATTTTTGCAATATAGGAGTTGTTTGAAGGTATGTTAAGAGCCCGAAGCAATGATCATAAATATGCACAGCCACTTCCTTCGAATGCCAGGTGACGTTAGGTATGCCAGATCTTAAAAAGGAAAGAGCAAAACGCGACCGGTAATGGTAGAATTTATTTGCATAAACTACTTACCGCATTTATTTACTTCATTTGATCACTATATTTGACATACTATATCATGCTATATTAAAAAGGTAGAAAATGCAGAAGAAAATGCTGAATTTAAGCGATAGTCAATCAACTAAATATCTAGAAATCGGCAGTCCGTTCTTTTAACGAATCTGTTTTTTATTAAGCTTTTATCTCGATAATAATTTTTAGCTTTTACTATTTTTGTTAACACTATGTGAAAATATTTCCTAAAAATATAATTAGTATCGTAGATTAAACTTAAAAATTTTGCGCAGCACTCTATGATAAATATCTCAAAATGTTCTGCGACGTAATGTCGGATAATTCCTTCGTGAATATTAAAATACGAAAATGCACAGAGATGCATTATTGATTAAGTGCTGGGTCAAGTAGCGTTCTCATCGCTGAAAGACGATCCTTCTAGAACTGAGAAAATCGACTAGCGAAAAGTGGAAGGTCAAAAGAGAATTGTATCGGAAGATGCAAATTGTCATTTTTTAAAACACACCATTGTTGCTTAATATTGGTGTCAAGAGCAAATTTTTAAATGTTCGAGTTTACTTTGAAAGGTTATCGTATCCGGTAGAAATAATTGCGGCATTAATTACAACAAGCTACGATAACATCAAAAAGCTTTCTCGTTCTAATTACAAGCTTCATTAGGAATAATACGCACTTGCTCTGTACAATTTCTATGGTAATTTAATCGTTACAACGTGTAACACAGACGTTAGAATTATTCTAATTTCAGATCGTATTGTCGGAGTTTCGTATGAAAATATTACGTGCAAAATACAACGTGGTGTTTTTAACTGCTTCGAGAAGATATAAAAAGCTAGCAAACGTGGTCACGAGATACAATATTCTTTGATTGCAGCACACATATATCAAAATACAATTCGCAGGCCGTCGACTTTATCGGTAGACAATTCTGTGATAAACGAAAAGAAATATACGGAGAAATGGAAAATAACACTGTTTTTTTTAAACTCAAGTAGTCGTGAATATTCTGTTTAAAATTTTTCCATTACTTAAACATTTCTCGGTTTTGTTTCATAAAATAAATTTCGTTAATATTCTTGGTGAGAATAATAATATAAATCCTTTTTATAGAAACTATTGGAAACTTGATAGGAATTGTTGTACTTAATAATTTGTTAAAGGTTACACTTCGAGTAAGAAAATAGACAAATTTGTTACATCCCGTAACCCTCGGTCGTCAGCTATACAAATATAATTAGTCACGCCGCAATAATCCTAAAGGACCATCATAAAGTTAAGCATTTTTACTTTACTGTCAACACCCTTAATTGCTACAAAAATTCTTTCAAGTTAAGAAGTTCTTTATGGTTATTGATTAATCCGGTAAAAAATGGGAAAAGCACGTTTTCCCCATGTTCAACAGTCATTTTCACCAGCAAGCGACCATTGATGGGGCAACCAGTACCCATCACTAGTTCCGTATACATATCCCCTTCACAGAACATAACTTCACTTGCTATCATCCCTTCAAACAGAATACATCTCAACTTGTTAATTACTCCTCACCTTATATTCTTCGAGGAAAAGTTGTTAAATCAGTGTTGTAATTATTCAACCACCCCCATTATCTTAATCGAAATAGGGAATCGACTGATTCATGGCGTCGATCATCGTATCGTAACGAGAATTTACGACTCTCGTTGGCGCGCTCTACCGCGACCGCGTCTCTTCGCAAACGGTCGAACAAAATTAAAATTACATAGAATGAAAAAGAACATTCATGAAGCTTCTCTATCGGTACCGTGTAGTGCGCAGGCTTCTGACCTGCCCTAATCAAAATACCCATTCTACTAGCTTATAGATACCAAAAAAAAAACAAAAAATCTAAACGACTCCCATTCATAAGAATATTACAAGACCAAATCTTTGATATCTATCGTGCATTTTTACAATAGTAGCGTACCTATTTCTTATTAAAAGTGCAGTATTATCGTTCACAAACGAACCCATTGCGCAAGTCCGTGTTGTGCCTGTCGCACACTGAGCAAAGGTTGGAGAGTCAATAATAAATAAGCGACAATCTTTTTATCAACCACGAGTTGATAAAAAGGTACGCGTGTATCTGTTGAAAATGTATACTATTGAATTTTACAATTACTCTTCACATTTTTTGAATTAGAAAATATACGAATTCTTGCTGAGATATGCAAGATATTTGGAGATATTAAATTTAAAAGGAGCGCAATGTGCAACACTTAAGGCTCCGATGCAGCTGCGGTAACTATTAGATTCACGAGCCGTGTCGATGAGTCATCGTTTCGGAGTGTGGAAGTCGTCTGTCAGGTACGAGCAAAGAACAATACCGATCGACTGTCTTGAAGAATCAAGTAACTTTCCGTGTGTTACCGTTAAGCAAAAACGCAAACAAAAAGACACGAAGATATTGCATAGATATGTCAGGTATATATAGATATAGGTATAGATAGGAGCACGCTTGGTGCGGAATCGATCGCGTCTCGACGTCAGCCACGCAAACTTGTCCTTCCGAATCCGAGGACCTCGGTTGCAGCTGCATCGACCTTGAGCGTGAACCTGAAATTAATGTAGCGAAACAAAGGTTGCACAAGGTTGACATTTACCCTGAAGCATATTGTGATCGGCCTCCTCGTCCGTGAGGCAGCGGACGTTGCCGATGGAAGAAGACAGCAGACTCATGATTCCTCGTTACAGACGTTGTCCTCGAGTTTCACGGAGCGATTCGCAGTAACGAGCCGAAGTCGATCGGCGCCGGAATCACGGAAAAGCCGCCTGGTCCGTGCGCGTACGTGATTGGTCGAGCGTTGGCCGAAGCTCGTGTCCGAACCAATAGTTACAAAGTATCGGCTGGCCC